TCGTATACCCCAGCCGCGTATAATAAGGCTGTTACACAACGTATGGCACTTAAAATATCATTTTTATTCCAGGTTCCACGTTACCACGTTCTCCTCTAATGACGAGGGTTTAGAAATCGATTCCAACAAAGACATAAAATATTCGTTTCATATCTGCAATAACACGTGTCTTATATACCCCATTTAGACTCACAAAAATATCCTGTGAACATTTAAGCACCCTTTAACCATATAATTTATTCAATTAAAGTACCTAACTAATTTGGTTAGCAGATCTCTAGAAACTATCCCGTATATCCTACTTGATCTACCATAATCAGCTGTCCAATTAAAAACTGAATACCGTTCCGTGAAAAGTCAATTAAAATATCCATTTCACTCACAAAAATTATAAATTCCTAGAATAATAACTGCGATACTATTATTTCGCAAATACACAAAATTATACAATTATTATTCATCTTCTATTTCCTATTTCCATTTAAAATTAAAAAACGAGCAATTAACCCTTTGCACTAGAGAGGCGCCTTTTAGTCGCCATTTGTTAAAATTTTGGAGCTCGATATTAATTAACCCTTTGCAGTTTCAGTCGCCATTTCATAAAATTTGGAAAATCGATATTAATTAATATATCAAATTTAATGTAATGTAACAGTACGCGAGGTATCGAAATCAAATAATTCTACAATTATATTATTATACACTTCTTTATTTACTGCTCAAAATGATATCGTCAGTTTTTTAGAAGAGAATCTTTGAATTTCCACTCTTCTTTAGTCAAAAAATCGTCGAGTGCAAAGGGTTAATATACCAAATTTAAAATAATGTAACAGTGCACAAGGTACCGAAATTCAATAATTCTACATGTTAATTATTATACGGTTTCTTATTTACTGCTCAAAAAATACCATCAGCATTATAGCAGAAAATTTGTCAACTCGTACCCTTCTTTAGCCAAAGGGTTAATTCCCTTATCTTCGTCTAAAAGTGATTTCGTTAATCTACCATCATTCGTACTACGTATATCCAAATGTAAAAAAAAAGTTGATAATTATAAATTTATTTATGAATCAATCACTCGACCAGGTCACTAGAAATACCTGTACCAAATTTCAGAACCAGATCTAGTACCAACCAAAAGTTATACACCTTCAATGAATCCAGCTCTGCAACTGCCTCTCTAGCTCAACTAGCTCTCACAAATCCTTCGAATCTTATTCCAAATTACCTCACGTTGCTCACTCATCGACTGCACACGAGAACATCTTCCTGACGATGACAGATCTCCATAGAATCTTCCTGTGTGGAGAAAATAGCAACGAATCTTCGGGTGTTGAGTCAATGCGAAGGATCACTCCGCCGATCCTGAGGGATCTTCGAGCACGTCGGCATCTCGAACGGACCAACCACGCGTGGAATTTTTTCGTCGGACGAACAGAGAGTCACGAACGCAGCGAAATTGGCACGAATGAAGAGATTCGAGGAAGATTGGCAACGTAAATCTCGCGAAAACGAACCGGCTCACTAACTATCCGTCAGGCGACGCCGGAGAGGATTATTCACCCTGCCCGAGCCGGAAATACTTCGTCGTTGCAACAATTTCAAATGGCCCGTGTTCCCAACACTAAATTACTTTTTGCAGAACTCGGCGACCCAGCGCGATAATTCTGCGAGATATCTCATCGCGAACGGAATCCCAATGGCGGAACCGGTCACGTGATACTGGCAACGGTGACTTCGAGTAACAAGACGCAATTGTTGTGAACGAATGGCAGTATTTGTTCAGCTTTTGCAGACACTGTGTGGACCTAGAGTGCCTTTATTAACCACTCGCGCTGGAAAGACGTGTCACGCACGTCGTAATGCTTTTGTCACAGAATCGCCAGCGACGTGGTACACACGTCGTTAGGCAATTGTTGCAGAAACATTGGACCCTTCTGGCACACGCGTCTGCGAATTTCTCGCCACCGCAAGTGGTTAAGGGTTCGTTTCGGTTACTAGCTGAACATCGGTGATGTTCAGAGTGTAAATGGCTGATGAAATTAATTTAGCGTGGAGGAAGAAACATATGCTGTTGAATTACAACCATGGGGATTCTGAATAATTTGTAACCGAGGCGAATAAACCGTATTCAGTATACAGGAAAATACGTGAAATATTTTTTGAAATATTTTTTAAAAAAGGAAATTAAGTTTCGTGTTTCTTTATAAGCTTCTTTGACATTAATCGTGATTAATAAAATTGAGGAATATTTGAAAATATACGAATACATCTACTATTTGTAATTTGTTTGAATATACTTTGTGTTTAGAGTACACAGGAAGATAGGTCAAATATTTTTGATAAAAATAGAAATAAAATATTTGTATTAACCCATTAGCTGCCACGATCCCCATTTGAGGATTTTGGAATTTTACGTACACCACTCGGCGCCAAAAATGTATTTGGTACACCTGACAGTTTAGTTTTATTCTATATATATCAGTCGATATTGTATGTAGCAAAAAGGATATATTCTGTGCTTCGTTTCTATACAACAAGCGAACAAATTTGAAATTCGCGTGTAAGTTGAACGGAACAGAATTGTCATATTTGAAACATTATATTTTTGGTTTGATTTTTATATTATAATGAAATACCGTACATAAATATGTAATTTAGAGGTTATAGTAACGATTTGTTACTCAGTTTTTTGTTTTCTATTGAAATGATTTTATTGATCATTTTATAACGATGCCCACTTTGGGACTTTTTCAAAAATATCAAATATTTTCGAAACAAAACATAATTTAAATATAATTATACTGCTACACAACCTTTTGTACATATATACAACTTATTTGGCCAGAAATTAAAAAAAAAGAAGAATTTGGCAGTTAATGGGTTAATTAATTAATTTATGTTTCATATGGTAGTAATATAGTTAAACGAATAATAAATACAGGATAATATGTAAAATAATTATTTTTTGTTTATATTTAATTTTTTATATTGTTTTATTTGTTTTATATTTAATTTAATTTAATTTGTATTCGAACATGTACTTGAAATCGGTGTCGGAATGAAGAGGTTTAAATTTCTAAATTTTCCTGTATTTATATTCGATATATTACTAATATATATATAAATTTATCTACAAATTTTATTCTATTTATATTTAATATGTCATCGATATATACTCGAAACACGAGAACAAAAAGAAAATTGTATTATGTGGAAAAAGGAAAAATAGATTATTTGTTTCACGTTGATACCACGTTAATGCCATTTTTCACACATCTCGGCAAGCACTATAAACCACGAAAATCTTAGACTTCCTTTCCTAGCATCCTGTACACGAATACCTACTATTTTCTGCTATATACTTAACCATTATTTTTCGACCCAATTTACAATAATAAACTTCTGTCCATCATTACTCTAAATTTAGAGAAAAAAAGAAGAAAAGTCGACACCATTACCCGCTCCCGACTACAGCTATCATTACGATCCACCCATTACTAGAGTTCTCCGTTCCATAAAATCGCGTGCATCGCTAAAACTATAGAGAACTCGTCGCGATACCGTGAAGAAACAAAATGGTGACGAATAACGAAGGAAAGATAGAAAAATCCGTTCGTCCAACGCTCGATGATGATTTTTATCAAACGGTATCACACGACTCGGTTGCCATAACTTCCAACTTCGTCACTTCCGCGTGCTGTCAAGTTACCCAAATCGCCTTGCCAATTTCGCTGGACCGCGGTTCCGACGTTCGCCAACTTCTCGCGTGAAAAGAAAATCATCTTCCAACCGTTGAACCGCCAAAGTCAAATTTATCCTTGTCTCTTCTCCAACGAAAATTCCAACGAGACCAGTTACGAGCGGAAATTTGAACAACGCGGAAGCTGGGTCCTCGGACTTGCGAAAGCACACCTCAGTTTTAAAAAATTAGGTGACACGTGTTAGGAAAATATACGCCGAGTAAAAGAATCGTCGAAACGTTATAGAACATTCGAGTAGGCGACAGATATATGAGAAATGAAAGAATTTTGGTCAGGATGGAATCCCAAGAATTCTTCCGAGAGAAGACTACCGAAGCTAGAGGGAAAGAAAAGCTCGCGTTATTTCTTCCGATTGGTCAAAATTTTGGGTTGAAACGTATAACAATAAATGTAAAATATTCGTATCAGGTCTTAATTATTGTTTGATTAAAAATAACGTTCATTCATCAATTAATCCTCTGTGGTCCACGTCGAATTTAGCGTTGTACCCTAACTCGTTTACAGTTCAGAAGAAACTTTGAAACATAGTGCAAAATTCTATTTTATTTTCTATTTTCGTATTTTCCTAATTTATAACTACTTTTACTGACGAAAGCTGAGAAATAAGATAATCATTCGCGAATTTTTGTATATTCCTTATCCTCCGAGGTAGATAAATTGAAAATTAAAATAAAATATATGGACAAAAAATTATCAATAAAATTGTTTTTTATAATAAAATATTTATACCGGTACTCGCGTAATAAATCGACAGAGCTGTAGTTTAACGTATAATTACGAAAGTAACCCGAATGAAATGGTGAGAAATCATTTTTATCGCTCATATCCTATTACATTCGTTTATGCTGCAATAAAATTAATAACGAAAAATTAAATATAATACGTATATTTAACGAGCGAAACTTATAATATTTCGAAACCAGAAACATACGTGACTCAGGCCACTTTGATAATCATCGACAGAATTTTTTTCCACAATTTTTCTTGCATAAAACCTACTTTCGTATTTTTAATATATATCTCGGAAAATAAAGAATATACGAAATTCTCGACTCGTTACTCCGTTTCTTAACTTTCGTCACCGAGTGTACCACTGATATTCGAAAATTTCGAATAAATTAACTAAGAAGCTATATTATGTACGGTAAAAATACGCTTGAAAGAGAATATCGAATCGAAATCGACGTTGGACCGCAAAGGGATAAAATGGCGGGAAATTTGAAAGGGGTACTTTACCGTCGACCATCCGCCTCACCACCTCCTCGGGATTGGCCCCTGCGTATTTCAGGTTGATGTACATCAACAATATCGCCTCCCAAGGGTACTGGAAGAGTTCTATGAGCTTGGAACTGTGCTCCAGCAGGATTTCCACGCTTTCACCTGGAAGAAAAACGAAAAAGACGAGTCGTTAAAACACGTGCGGATAGAAAATTGAACGAAAGAAAATAAATATTTGCGGGATTGTTAAAGAATGTTACGTATCACCGATACGAACGTGCAACATCCTTTGTCCAGTTCACCCGTAAACGCGTAAGAATTTTCGAGGAAGGATTCAATGCGAATTGCTCCCGGTATAAGAAAAGTAACATTTAATGAAAATATTAAGCAACAAGGTTACGCATACGTAATTCTTCTTTTGAAAGCATTCCAAACTAGAATTGTAACAAACATTCTTGCACAATCCTCGACACGTGTGGCTAATTTCTAATGCAACAGCGGTCTATGTATAAATTCATTTTTCAGTTCGTATAAATTTCGTATTAACTAACTACCTGGGAGATTTTATATCACAACCGACAGGTGATTCACATCCGCGTCTGATTATTCGCGAAAAACAATTAGATCTTCGGAACGTCCTGCAAAAGCAGATTAATTACTCTTCGCGGAAATTAATATCATTGAAACGTAAGATGAGAGGGAATTTAGAAATGCGAAATGTAATGTAATTTAATATAAAAAATAAAAATAAAATAAAAAATGTAATGTAATTTAAAAAAGAATATGATACAAAACGCAATGTAAAATAATTTAAGATGTAACATGAAGAATGTTAAGTATAAAAATTCGAAATTTGACAGGAAATCTACGATGACCAGTTAATGAAAGAATGAAAGGAAACGAGTCTGAAAATAATAAAACGAGAGGACATACTGCAAAATTATAATTGTATGCATATTACAAGAAAATTAAAAATCATCTAGATTATGGTAGGTTCAAGGTAAACCTAGTTTAGGATGAATATAACTTTGCACATGGGCGTAAGAAATTAATAATTTTGCAGATGAGTTAACGATTATTATAGTCTGCTATATTCTTTTTCATATTTTCAAATACTTTGTATAATTATTATTATCGCAGGTTTTTATTAAATAATAAATAAAATAGGATAAATGGGATAACTTACTAGGATAAATATAGTTTTCTCGAATACCTGGACTTCTTCGACGTGAATAAGATACAAAATTATTTTCATGGATATACAATACAACTATAATTCTATAATTGTAAACTGATAACAAAATTAAATCGATGGAACAGAGAGGCGAGCGAAATAAATGTGACGATCTATCTCGTAAAAAACCCATTCGTTTTGCATCTGCATATACATCTATTCCGTTATTTGTATCCGAGTCGAACTTTCTCGCAACTTTCTAACACCTGTTATGGTCTATGGTCGAGATAGGATCGAGAGCGATCGGTGAACGTGAAAATTATATCGTTCGATGGCTGTAAGCCTATGGTCGTGGAAAAAGTTGAAATTAAGCGTGACACATCTATTCGACATAGTATAGCGATAAAAATTGTAAAACACTTGATATGGAAATTTCTTTTCCAGAGAAGAGACTTAAATATAATAAATTCAAGGTATTACTAACCATTTCTATCCAATACGAACTTTTACATAATTTTCTATTCAATATTTGGCAAGACCATGCTCAACTTGGTATTTACAATGTACAATCTTCAAAATAAATATCACTAACGATGGGATGATTAATTATAGTGATTTTATATTTAAGAAAATATTTAAAAGTACATTTAAAGCGATGAAGATTCAGTCTTTTGTCACGATTATATAATAATTGTGTAGAATTGCATTATTCTTATTCATAAAGAATTATTTGGCAGGTCAATATCCATTTTTGTAGTAAAAATAATTTCATATTCAAACTTTGATGTCATTCTCGTTAATTTTACGAAAATATTCCGCTAACTTTGATTCCTTGGGTCAATCTTCCCAAGTCGCGAGGGGGTCCTAAGTCCCAATTTTGCTGAAAAAGAGGTGACTAATGTTAAAATTTATGAATCCTCGCTTACCCCAGCCGTTTACTCGTTTCCCCCAAAATATTCAAAGGACTGGTGCCCAAATCGACGATACATTGGCATAACCAAACTGGACATCTTCCTAAAAACATCAACCCCAATCTTCACCCTTCCCCCCATACTTATCCAAACAAATACCCAAATAAAATCCCCCTAAAACCGCATCAGCTACAATTCTCAACCTTCGAAACGGGTCTTTGGAGCGAAAAAACAAAAAGCAAGCATCCCGAATGAAGCGGGGAAGGGTGCGAATCGCGTGTGGATGTCGGGCCACGAGACGCGGCGCCCCACGTGGTCTCGGCGTTCACCCCGCCCGGAAGCTGCGCGGAAACCTTGGGCCGCGCATGCGCGCGCGCCAAGAGTCCTTAGCCGCGTGGCGCTGTAAATATCGATTTTAAACAATGAACGATGTCTCGTTGCCCCCGTTGGTGCACCGCGTGGTGCGCGCAAGGGGTGGGAAATAGGATCGTGGAGGGGGTTCACTCTGTGGGTTCACTGCGAGAGAAATGGAACCGCGACGCCTGGCGTCCGCGAACATGGACAGGGACAATAATTCTCCGGCCGTTATGACATGATATATTAGATATTAAGGCAGCCAATAGTAGCGCGTCCGCTCGCCGCAGCTCCGCCTATAAGAGGCCTTCTGGATCGTTTTTAAAAGGCGGAAATAGTCCTCCCCTCCCGCCGCTCGCTCTCTTTCTCCTTGTTCCGTTGCCGAGCCTGCTCTCTTGCCCCTCCAACGCGACGCTTTTTCCAAGAGGGACCCGGTGAGTCTACACACCTCCCTTCTCCCACGTTGCCATCCCCCTATACGTTCTAACGGATAGACACCACGACGCGGACTGCAGGTGCCGCGCCACCGGGACGCCAGGCGTTGGTTCCCTCCTTTTCTGTGTGCAGGTGAACCCGGCCAACCACGTGCTCCGTACCCGCGCGTATGCGTGCTCACTCTTTGGTAGTGGCATGCTACCTCCATTAGAGAGCGAGACAGGAGTGGAGAACCCGGACGCGGGAGTGGGAGAGAATGAAATTCCCCGGGAGAGAGAGGAGAGAGAGAGAGAGAGAAACTGGTAGAGGGGCTGCCCTCTGACCGAAGGAGGATCGTTCCGACGACGTGGGGAAGGAGAGAGAGAGAGAGAGAGACCAGAGTCGTTCCTTGGCTTCCCGGTCCTTGTCACGCGTTCGATCACCATGCACCCCCCGTTGCGGTACCTCTTCCCCCTTTTGCACAGTCCAACTCACCCCCTCTACCTATCCGTTCCTTCCGTCGGCGCCCACGTAGCCACGCCACGCTCTTTTCCTTCTTTCCCCCATTTTTTCCCTCTCTTTAATTACACCACTCTACGCTGCTGGACCTTTCACCGTTCACCGCCATTTTGTTCGTGACGTCGACGTAGCGCGGGCTCCGCGAGCTGGGCACACGCGTGAGCCGGGAAACTAGCGTTCTAGGAGGGAGAACACGCGGAACTGCGAGTCCCTGTGGGGACAGGGAGCGGACGAGAATATCGGTAGCATGTGTGCCTGGTTTGTACAGGTACTTCTCGATTCGATTAGGCTTCTGTAACTTGCCCAGGTCGCTACCCGGTAGCTTTCCGAGGTTATGGACGGGGTTATGGACGGGGTTATTTTTTCCAGCATTGTTTCTTCGTATTAGTATGTGCATGACACGCTCTGTGGTCTATCTAGGAACTTCGATCATTCCGTCATTGATTGCCTCATTAATTTTCGATTAATTCCGTCGCTGGCCGAAAATGGTTACCGATGATCTTCGTCAATGTCAGCGGTGTTAATCAGCCGTGAGGATGTAAACACGCTGTGCCTTCTTCTGTCGAACGCACAGTACCAGGTACATGCACAGTAAATAAACAAAAAGAAATAGCTAAATTTGTAAACTAAAGTAACCAAAACTAGCCTTCCTGTAGATACACTTACCAAAACTATATCTGTGGAAAGAAGACAACTCCATAATAAGTCAACACCATATATAGTTAATGAATATGTCGATAGTTTCTCAATTGACATCCAACTCGCACAAAAGACACGTTGTATAGAGAAGAGAATAATAAATTACGTTGCGAAATAGCTTGCATATATTTATAGGAATTCTTCATAGAATTCCTATATCTTCCTATACCCTACCATCCCCAACGTTATCCAAGTCTAACCTAAATGATACTACGGAGGAGTACACTGGGCCCACGATATCCTTCGACACTATCGACGCGTGAAACCCACTCGGTCGCTGACGAGAGATCCACTTTTGAATTTATTTAGGGAACAGCGATAGAGATACAACGAACAAACATGGAGCCCTAGAATAGACGCCATGAATCTCACAGTGTACTCGGCAGTGTACGTTCGCAGGTAATAAAACAAAGATGAAACAGTTTAAGAGAATGTCAGTCTGGACATTCGAGTGTAGCCAGACGGTTTATATTTAAATTGCTCGCGATTTCAAAACGCGCCATCAAGATGTACGAGGAGTATGCAAATCCGAGGTAGGAGATTTGCATCGATCGATATGTAAATGGAGGAAATAACCAGAGAAAGGGGTAGATCTGCTAAACGCAGTGACAATACTTGGGCAAACGAATAAACGACTCGGTCGTTTAATACTTCTCCGGAATAATGACAGCAATGGAGTTTCTGGTGCCATTTGGACGACGCGATTAGCACTCGGGGCCTAAGGAACAGCCCAAAATTGAACATAATCGATGTCATCCCGATGTGCAAGCAGATGCTGATGTCTTTGCTACACCGAATACTTCTCCCTGAGAAATAATTACGATTTCTTAGTAAATTCGACGTGGTCGCTTCGTAGCCAGCCCACAATTACCTTTATTACGTCAATTTACGCCTTTCGATCGCCGGTTGATCGTGAGCTTAAAATTCATATTCCATGTTATCATTTTACCCAGTACAAAACGTCACGCGTGCAAGTACCACGAAGCCAGAAAAAACCTGGCCGTATTTTACACAGTACGTGCTTAAATGAGCATCTCTGCCATTTTTCCCGATCCCCTGCGTGATATTTTAAACAGCCTAGGGGTACGTCT